CACCCGCGGCAGGGCGAGTAGGCCTGCCATTCAGCCCCCCTCGGAGTTGCCAGACTCCGCGCCATCCCCAGGCACAGTGGCCCCACGGGCACCAACTTCAAAAACGTGTTACATCGCACGGGGCGGGATGGCATCCACTCCTGGCAAAGCCCAAGAATCGGGCCGAAGCAGACTGACGTATCCCACGCGTTAACACATCGCACTAGCTCATATCCATGTTCTCGGCCAAAGACTCGACCTTGATCTTCGCAGACATGTAACTGCCGGGCAACATGCGGCTAAGCCGCGCACTCCGCTCATGGCCAAGGACATGCGAATGTCCATGGCCGAATCCGTGACCAAGTCCAAGGCGACGTGAGGCTTAGCCGCGTATTCCTTCAGCGATCGGCAATTAGCGAAATCATCACCATTCAACGACTGATTTCCGAATTGAGCATGGCATTCTGATCCGTGTCATTTGCCCTTGCCTGTGGGGGGCCCAGTTCCAGATGCGATCCTGAGCACAGTGCCTCTGATTGCATTCGCGCATCCTCCACCAGTGCCACTTCTTCACCTCTTCTCGACTTGGTGGAACACGTGCCATCCGTTGCCCGCCCGTCCGTTTTAACCAGTGTCCAGCTTCGCTGGCGTCGCATTCCCTCTGAATCTCCGGGCCCATGCGCTGCTGCGAAGACGCCGCGGACGCAGCGGCCACCGACGGCTCTTCCGGCAGGGTCACTTATAGCCGCCGACATCGCATTCACCTGCGCGCGCGCGCCGCCGCCGCGCCCAGGGGCGGGCCGCTTCGGCCGCTGGCAAAGTCCGACGGCCTGGCGGCGCCTGTGGAGGAGACCATTGGCCTCTCGGCGGGGGCGGCAGGTCGCCGATTGAACCGGCGGCCGCCCCAAGGGGCAGGATCATACCCCGTCGCAATATTTATGCCAGGAGAAGCGCCGCTGACCAAGTCGGCAACGGCCCAGAACGCAGGCATGCTGATGGGACTGGCAAGGCCGCCCAGGCCGACTCCGCTGGCGGAGCCAGCGACGGCCCCGGCGCCCGCTCAACTAGCGCGGTCGGTCACGCCGCCGGTTGATCCAGAATGGTCATCGACATCCATGAGGTCCGCGCTGTCGGCGCAATTGACAGCGGGTTGCCCGCTGGTTCTGGATGCGCGAGCAGCGCCAGATGCGATCGCGGCGGTTAGTTCATCGCGTCTGTCGCCGGAAGTCTCCTCGGCCAAATTAACCTGGCCACCGAGCTCCAGAATGCGTGAGTGAATGTGCGCGGCGAGGCCGTGCATTTGAATCCCGCGGTTTAACCCCAGATCCATGACGCGCGCCCCGACCAAGTCCAATCTCCCCACTGCTGTCCTCACCTCCGCATCGAGCGCGCAGGCGCCCATTTCCCCTGTTTGGGTCAGCGTTCGAGCCCGAGCCCCAGGCGTGCGGCGTCCTGATTTGTTGAGGGCGGCGCCCCGAAGTCCGGACCCTTTCCCCAGAAGCGGCTTTTCACCCTGAATCGTTTTTTGACACTCTCGAGGCCCGGCGGGGGCCCCCAGGGCCAGAGAGTCATGAAAAACCGCCCATCCTGATTGTTTTCGCGACGCCACCATGTCTGGGGCAGCGTCTCCTGGTCAACGCCCCCCGGCGGAAAAGCAATTGACTGGTCATCCTGAATCAACTTCGCCGCGCGCTCCCCAATGACCCCGAGATCCCTGCAGGATCTCAGTTCGAGAGGCAACTAGTGGAGCTTCCAGACAAGATCAACGGGGCCAGACCACCTCGAGTCACCGAAAAATCCCGACGGGAGGTTTTTCTATATTTTCGGCCTCTGGGGGCCCTCGCCGGGCCTGCGGACCGTCAAAAGACGACTCAGGATGAATAGCCTGTGCTAGGTAGTGGGTCGGGACCTCTGGGGGTCGCGCAATGAAGAAATCATGGCGTCGGCGGTCTGGGGGGCCAGCGGGGATATGATAATGAGCGGGGCTCATCGTTCCTATTGCCACCCCGTAGATACTCCATCGCGCACCGGCATGCCGCGCCTTTCGCGCGCGACGCGGACGCGCCGATGACTATCGGCAAAGTGCGGCCCTCGGTTAAGCGAGGGGGAGGCCCATCATCCGATCCGCTGGGTTTGCGAACGTCCATCTCTTGTCTGCTAGGGGGCTCTTTCCCCGCAGCGCGGTCCAACGCGCGCGCGGGGTGTGTTGCGGCGAGGTTAGACGTGAACGCGACCTCTTTGTCGCCATCTTCGGGACAGGCCAGGATGAGCGGCGCGGGCGGCGCAGCCGCCAGTGGGGCACCCCCGCGGTCCCAAGCCAAAGGCCCACCTGCTCCAATGTCCCGATCGCCTTGAATGACCGCTGAAGCTCATCGCAGAAAGAGCCCGTACACGCACAAATATTATCCGCTTGTAGTGCGGGGAACCCGAGCTCTGGTCTGCTGCTCAGCTTGGTCCCCAGGGCCTGCGATTGCACAGGCGGCGTCCTGGGCAAGCCAAGCTGGCGTGGGGATTGTATTCCCCTTGCAGAGCATCGATGCCTCCCATATCTGCCAACCTTCCCTAGGTGCAGCGGCATCGTCCCTTCTACACTTCCAATCGCATGTCGCCAACGGAAGGCAACCCATGAGCATCGGAAGTTGGTCGATCAACTTCCACAGATCGTGCCAGCACATCGACACACGGGTGTTGTCCTCTTGGAAATAATTCATAAAATTGAACCTTCTCCTGAGCCGCTCCATGAACCGAGCATGCGATTCAACCCTAATCGGTGGGCGATCAGCGGGGGTCAGCGAGTCTCACGAAGGGACAACCTCCAATTCGTTGTTGATTGACGTGCGCCCCCCGCGGGACTTCGTCATTCGAGTCGGTTGATCGTTGAACTGTAGCCGCTTAGACCTATCATACAAAAATCAAAGGAAAGCTTGTCAACGGCGGTGGCGGAAGAGATTTCTTGCCCCTTGCGTCTGTCTTGGGCAGTCAGATGTAGGCTCTCCTCCTCTAGGTCACCTGCAGACCGCGCTTCATCAAACTTTGCCGGATCGCCCTCATGGCCCCTCCTGTAAAGAAACTTCGCTGCACGGATAATCTAGGGGCGGCCAGAAACACCGCGGCATGACTCCCAGCTTAACCGGAAAGATGCACCAGCGACTCGTCCAATTCAATGCTGAATTCAGAACATCCCTGCGATCGCCCCGACAACGACGCTTCCCCTTTGGCCCTCTGGATCTCCCGAATGCTCTGTCAATTCAGGCTCATGATGGCTCAGCTTGTCAACCGGGGATTGAGATTGCTCTCGGTCGGCATCATTCTCTCGCGTGCTTGCGTGTCCTCTCCCAGGTCGGCTGATTGGGGCTATAACTGACTGAGTCAGCCCTGCCTGATGCAAGGGGACCTTGGGGATGTTCATTCGGCGCAGACCAGCTCGCTCCCCCCCGAGGGCCATGGACGCGCCAAACTTTAGGCGAAACGCCACGGCGCCGCCAACGCCGCCGCCGCCAGGCGCGCGTTGGCCAGCGGGTCGCGCGTTCGACCGCGCTCGGCCCCGCGCGTTGCGCCCCGTGCGGCGGCGCTGGGCAAGCAGGGCCCAGGGTGGGCAGGGTGGGGGGAACAACGACGCCGCCAATCGCCAGGGCCCATCCCCTGGGCGGCGGCGGCCGCTAACCCCCCCCCCCCCCGCGCGCGAAGCCTCTGGGCGCTGGGCGGGGGGGGGCTTGAGCCGCTCCCCCGAGAAGCGCAGCCATGACGCGCGGCGCCGCGCTGTGCCGCGCTGGCGCCCGCGCAACAACGTCGCCCCCCGCTTGTGCCCCGCAACAACGCAAGCGCCGCGTCGTCGACGCAAACAAGCTCGCCCCCCCCCCCAATGGCCATGCACGCGCCAAACTTTGGGCGAAACGCGACGGCGCAGCCAACGCCGCCGCCGCCGAGCGCGCGTGGGCAAGCGGGTCGCGCGCTCGACCGCGCTCGGCCCCTATGCTCGCGCGACCCGCGGACCCGCGCGGCGGTAGGCGCATCTCGCGGCCCCGATCGCGCCGCTCAACGCTCCGCGAAAGGCGCGGCGCTTGCG